AGGGCCCGCCCCGCGCTCGGGGCCGACGGGCGCGCGCCTGCACGGGGCGGGCGGAGGGCGAGGGGCGAGGGCACCGTTCCAGGGACCGAGGTTGTAGTCCAGCCCCCTTCCCCCACGGGAGCGAACCCTGCGCTCATGGACAAGTGGCCGCCCTTCTCCGGACCTCAGTCTGTGTGCCTGTTCCAAGGGGGTGCCGTGGCACCTGCAGCCCCTGCGGCTAACCGCACTTGTGCTTTCTCCCCCTCCCCTTTATTACACCCCAGTCCCCTGGTCCCCGGCTCTAATGATCATGATGAGGGAGTGACAGCAATTTACTGAGTGCTTACTGTGTGCCATCCACCAACCCTGCTATGTCCATTTTACAGAGGCGGAAACTGCCTTAGAAAGGCAAAGCCACTTGTTAATTAGCGGCAGAGCTGCATTCTAACCCAGGGCTAAGGGACCCCATGATGTCCCCTTGGCTCCATTTCTTCTCACTCCCTGGGCCATTGGGGTCCGCAAGATCTGGGTCGAGTCTTGGCCCTGCCACTTACTGGCAGAGGGAGCGTGAGCAACAGGCTTGGCTTTCTGGTGCCTCGGTTTCCCCATTTGGAAAATGGGGGTGATTTACCCTTATTCATAAGAGCTCATGTCTCCTAAGTGCTACAGTGTACTGAGCGCTTTATGCGTATTATCCTTACGGCACGTCTGTGTGAGTGGGTGGAACTATTCATCCTGTTTTGCAAAAGGCTTAACTGAGGCTCAGAGAGGTGAGCGCCTTGCCCAAGGCCCTGCAAAGAGTAAGTGACAGACTCGGGAATCGAACCCAGAACCTCTGACTCTGGAGCCCAGACTCTTAACAGCTCCGATAAATGTCCTCATCCACGACTCAGGGCTAAGCATCACCTGAAACCAGTTCCTTTCTTCTTCCAAGTCTTGAATCCCAACTCCTCCCATTCTGCCAGTCAGGAGGCGGGACAAACACGGTTCAGAGGCCCCTGTGGCTCTGGGGTTTGATGGGCTCTCAGTTTTGAGGATCGCAGTACTAGCCTGTGCCCTCAGTTGGACTCTATCCTCCACTGACGATTTTTCTTTATTTCGGCTCAAGTTGGCCCCGAACGTCGAGATCCAGGGGAGGGGTAAGGGAGGCTTAGGGTGTACTTGTGGGGCCCGAGGGCCGTGCTGGTTTACCAGGTTACCAGGCGGTACAGAATTATCCTGCCATTTTACCCACCAGCGTGGCTATGATTGTGCGTCCGGGTCAATGTCAGCCATGCCCAGGTCGAGACACTCGCACCCAGGGATGGCAAGGTGCTGGGGGACAAGGGGTGCTCCAGACCCTCCCTGCACTGACGGCTGCCCCCTCTCTCCTCTCAGCCCGGCTCCAGTGCCCAGACCCAAGCCCCCCACTGCTCAATGGACACCCCCAGCCCAGACCTGTTGCCTTCGCCTTTGCCCGGGGAGGAAGAGAAACCTCTGGCCTTACCTCCTCCTGTTCCCCGGGGCCGCCGAGGCCGACGTCCCGGGGGGGCCACCTCCTCGAATCGGACGCTCAAGGCCTCCCTCCCTCGCAAGCGGGGCCGCCCCCCCAAGTCGGGGCAGGAGCCCCCGCTGGCGCAGGGGGTGACAGCCCCGGTGGGCAGCAGCGGTGGCAGTGACCTCCTGTTGATCGATGCTCAGGGTGTGCCCTATACAGTCTCTGAAGGGTCAGCGACAGGCGGGCCTGAGGGCTCCGGCCCTAAGAAGGCCCCGCACTTCTGCCCGGTGTGCCTGCGGGCCTTCCCCTACCTCTCCGACCTGGAGCGCCACAGCATCTCGCACTCGGAGCTGAAGCCCCACGAGTGCAAGGATTGCGGCAAGACCTTCAAGCGGTCCAGCCACCTGCGGCGGCACTGCAACATCCATGCCGGCCTGCGGCCCTTCCGCTGCCCGCTCTGCCCCCGCCGCTTCCGCGAGGCGGGCGAGCTGGCCCACCACCACCGCGTCCACTCCGGGGAGCGCCCCTACCAGTGCCCGGTCTGCCGGCTGCGCTTCACGGAGGCCAACACGCTCCGGCGCCATGCCAAACGCAAGCACCCGGAGGCCATGGGGGCACCCCTGTGCGACCCAGGGCCTGAACCACCATGGGACGACGAGGGCATCCCGGCCACGGCGGGGGCCGATGAGGAGGAGCTGGAGGGCAAGGAGTTGGCCTGACCCGCAACCCCGGCTACTGCTCCCTGGGCCAGGTTTAGAGCTGGGAGTTCAGCTGGGCCTGGGCAGGGAGGTCGGGACACCCTCGTGTCTGGTGGTCTTCCCGTTGTGGGAGGGGCTTGAGGGTGAGGACCTAAACTTCAGGGTCCTGCTGCCTCCTGCCACCCTCCCCCGGACTAACAGGCCCTTGGAGGCAGGGGCCGTGGAAATAAATCTCTGCCGACTGGCTTCCTGCGTGTGTTCAGTGATGGTAGCAGGGCTGGCCCCCCCTTCTCCTCCGTTCAAATGTCCTTCTGCCGCTACACCACCCCGATAGGAGCACATGGAATTTGGGGGGACCCCATGATTGTGCCTCATTAATTTGGTGCCTTTGCCTTCTCTCCCATCTCCAGCAGACCCCAAAGCACTCCCTATAATATCCACTCTAAGTAAAACATTGAGCCTTCTGTGCAAACGTGACGCTAGGTCCCCCTCCCCATTCCAGCCAGATTCCCGGAAATTCTGCAGCCACCAGTTTGACCCATCTCTTTATCTTGACCCTGTTTGGAAGGAAAAACTGAGTTGAAGGTTGTGGGCAAGACTGACAACTTTGGTAGGGCTTAGGTAGATAAGGGGTAGGGCCTCGGGGGCGGGGCTGAGGGAGCAGGAGGCGGGGCTGGGACTGAGGGGCGAGGCTTATTGGGCAGGAGGTGAGACCTACGGGCAGAGCTTAGGAGAAGGTGCTGAGAACTGCGGTGGGGCTTAAATTGGTTTAGAGGCTGACGGGCAGAAAGTGAGAGAGCCTTTAGAGGGAGTAGATAGGGTTTATCCGACAGGAGGGGCTTCATGGGGAAACTGCGGGAAAGCAAGGTGTCAGGAGAGGTGGGACTTAACTGTTAAGAGAAGACACTGAGCCGTGAGCATTCAGGCTATTCAGGCCCAGGGGAGAGAAGGGGGTGCCTAAGGGAGGAGTAACTAAGGGAAGTCCCTGAGAGAGAGGGAGCTTAGTAGGAACGGCCGAGTGGGACTGGTCTTAGCTGCTTGAGGGCGGAGGGGGGGGGGCACCGAGTTAGGGGCGAGGCTTATAGAAAGTATAGGAGAAGAGCAGTGTGAAGTGTTAGAGCTGTGGTTCTAACTTCAGCCTGCATCAGAATCCCCTGAAGGGTACTTTTAAAACACAGATCCCTAGGCCCTACCCTTGGGATTTCTGGTTCAGAAGGTCTGGGGCAGGGGGCCTGAGAATTTCCATTTCTCACAATTTCCTGGGTGCTGCTGCTGCTGGCCTCTGAACTATACTTTGAGAACCGGCGACTTAAGGGAATGCTTTAGAGGTGCGAGGCAGAATTATCGCGTAGAAGTTGTGAGAGAGGTGGAGCTTAAATGGTATGGGCGGAAGGGGTGGGGCTTAAACGCAGGGGCGTGGTTAGCCTAACAAGCTGAGGGGCGGGGCCTAAAGAGGCGTGGCTGAGAGCGGGGCTTAGGAGGGAGGTGGAGTTCTAGAGAGTAGGCGCTTGGAGGCGTGGAAGAACACGAGAAACTTCATGGGGCTGGGGCGAGGAGGCCGGATTTTGAGGCGATAGGCGGGGCTCATAATTAAGCTCTGAAATGTGCGTGCTTCAGAACTGAGGGCGGGGCCTAAGTGCAGATTTACGCGAGGGGCGTGGCTTAACTGGATGTCCGGAGCGTGTGGGCGGTGCCCTTAGAAGAGGCGGGCGCTCAGAGCGCAGGCGCACCTTTCTCAGCTCGCTCACCGGAAGCGGCCTGGGCTCTCCCCGCCCGCGTCCCCGAGCCAGTGCGCAGGCGCACTTCCCCTTGCCCGTCGCCGCCGCCGCCTCCTGTTTCCGCTCCTCCACGCCGGCGCCTCGGAGACGGGCGCGACTTCCGCTTCCGGGCGGGCCGGCAGGCGGGCGGCGCGGGGCTGCCGGGGAGGGGGAGGGGGCGGCACTTCCGGTCGGGCCCTCGGGTCTCCCCCGAGCGGCGGCGCCTCCTCCGCCTCCTCGGCCTCCTCCCGGCGGAGACCCCGGCGCCGGTGAGTGACGGGGCGCGTGGCCCGGGGGCCCGGGGGCAGCGAGGGCGGGGGGCCCCGCCCTGGCCCGCTCTGGTCCCCAGAACGTCCCCATCAGTGCCTCTCCCGCCGGGCCCTCGCCAGGTGGGCCCCAGATCACTGCTCCCCCGTAAGACCGCTCCAGATATTTCCCCATCAACGCCCCTATGTAGGATGGCTGCCAAAACGCCCTCATTCGTGGCGATCCCCTAAACTGCTGCCAAGGCCCCCCACAAATGCATTCTCATAGGATCCCTTCTATATAGCCCTCCATCATTGCTTCCTTCAGGACAGCCCCCAACATGCCACCAGCATTGCCTGCCTCCCCTGCAGGGCAGCTACCCGTGAACCCTCCGTTAGTATCCCCTATAGGTTGCCTCCAAAAATTGTTCATTAGTGCAACTGCCCCCCATTATCTCTGTCCACACACAACAGTTCCCTAAAGCTCCTAACCACTCCCCTCCCCAGAACACTCCCTGCCTTGGTGTAAAAATACTTTCTATTCTGGTCAGCGGCCAACAATGCCCTGTTTTCCTTCTGCAGCCCCTCAGTAATTCCCCTTGAGAATACCCCTTGCAGCCACCCCCCGCCCCGACCCTCCCCATAGAACAGCTCCCTCTAGAGTTCTGCTCTCACACCCACATCCTCTCGCTCTTCAGGTAGAAATAGCTGCCTGTCTAGCCTCAGGCTCCCACGGAATACTTCTGCCCCGCCTCCCACCGCACCCTCATCCAGGTCAGCTCCTGTCTTCAGTCCTTCTCCCACAGAACAGTGCCCCACAGTGAGGCTGTCCCTCTCAGAATGCGCCCCCTCCCCTCAATAACACCTCTCGTCCTGACCTCACACTTCTTACCCAGCTCTCACTCCATCCTCCTGGACATCCTAGAGAACACCCCTAGCTTCACTAGGGCATGACCTCTTTTTCCCCTGGGCATTCATTCATTTGTTCGTTCTTCACTGAACCTAGTTCAGGGCATACAGTTGAGAAGGAGAGAGAGGCACACACTCTTCCATCTTGTAGGGTTTTACAGTCTCATTGAGGAGACAGATCAAAAACAATTAAATAAATAAACAAGATAAATGCTGTCTTCTGGGTTCTCCGGGAGCCTGATGAGTGACTTCAGAGACGAAACCTGAATTAACATGCAGAGATCTGGGTGAACTGTTCCAGGCAGAAGGAATAGCAAGTGCAAAGGCCCTGAGGTGGCCATGATCATGGTGCATAGAGGAGTGACAGGGGAGGCCTGTGAGGTCAGAGTGGAGGAATTGAAGGGAAGAACGAAGGGAGAGAGTTTGCTCATAGGACCTTGGAGGGGAGGGCATTTTGATCAATTATCTGGCCTTTGTCAGCTTTACCAAGCCGAGAATTTTTTTCATTTGTTCATTCATTCACTGTTCAACAGCTGTTTAATGAGCACCTCCTACACTGGGGATGCAGCAGAGAACAAAATAGACAAGAACCCCTGTCCTCGTGGAGTGCATATGCTAGTTCATGGGGCAGACAGTTAAAAAACAAAATATGTGTGTATGTGTGAAGAAAATACAGCAGGATAAGGGTACAGAGTTATAGGGGCTGCAGTGTCAGAGAGGGTGGCAGGAAGGCCTCTTTCAAGAGATTCCTATTGTCATCTTGTCCCCCCAGAAAGTCTCGCACCAAAAAGTTACACCTGTGTGTAACTCTCCCTCCTTCTGGACAACTGTGGGCCACCACGGGGCTGTCTTAACAGCTCCTCTCCCCCAAGAGGGAAATGGTTAAGGGGATGGGGCCTGGAGTCCACTAGTGTTTATCTCTCTGAGCCAACCATGCCCTCTTTTCCTAGCCTCATTCATTCATTTATTTCACAAATATTTTTGGAGACACGCACTGTCTAGGTCCTGGGGATGGAGCAGTGAACAGAACAGATAAAATTCTTGCGTGCACAGAGCCCACCTTCTAGAGGGGAGGCCACCACCAATAAGACAAACAAGCAGAATATATGGTTTAAAGATGATGCTGTCTGGAAAGGAGAGTACTGAGGCAGGAGTGTGGGTGTGGGTGACAGGTTACAGTGGTCATGGAGAGCCTCACTGAGCAGACGGCATTTGAGCAAAGACGTGAAGGAGGTGAGGGAGTGAGAGAGGTGTATACGTGGGAGTCAGAGCATTCCAGGCAGAAGCAATGGCCAGTGCAAAGGCCCTGGGACAGGAATGGAGCTGGCATATTGGAGGAGCAGCCAGGAGGCCATGGGGGCTGTGTTGGTCATTATAAGGACTTTGACTTAGAGTGAGATGGAGTCACCGCAGGGTTTTGAGCAGAGGAGGGACAGGGTTTGGCGTTAGTCGTCCTATGTATAAATTATCTAATGAATCTGTTGGGAAGTTTGAGTGCCACAAGCCATATAAGGCACATAGTACAGCCCCTGTGAGCGTTCAATAAATGCCTGTGGCTAGGCCTGGAGTTGGGTGGCAGGGAAGTGGGTGGGGCAAAGTATATTTCCAGTATAAGGTGGAGTGGGTCCTTCCTTTATTTTGGAGACATATTGAAAGGGAGGTAACAGCATGGACTCTGGAGCCCCACCACCTGCCTTCAAATCCTGGATCTGCCACTTGTCAGTAGTATGAGTTTAGGAGATTAATTTCCTCCTCTGGCCCTGAGTCTCCTCTTCTGTAAAACAAGGTTGATAATCATAACCATCTTCTAGGGTTATTGGGAAGATTCATTGAGTGAACACACATAAAGGATTTAGAAGGGTACTTGGCACGTAGAAAGCACTCATTCAGTGTTATGTGTTACTATATGTTACTGTCATTAACAGACCAGAATTTCATCACAAGGCATCTTTGTTGCAGTGAAATGGCCCTCAGGTCCTGGCATCAGAGACCTGGAATCCAATGCCTGCTTTCCCCTTTACTGGCTACATGACCTTGGGGAAAAGACCCGCCCCTTCTCCTCAGTTTCCCCACTTATAAAATGGGACCAATAATGGTCCACGACTATTGTGAGGCATCAGGGCAATGGTACATATGAAACTGGTCGAACAGTAAACACGAGCTGTTAGAATTATGGCTGTGGTTGCTGAGGGACTCCTGCCCCTTGGGAGAGGTTCCCCCCATCATGCTTCTCTGCATGAAACCCTCCTGTGACACATCTCCCCTTGGAAAGACACCAATTAAGGCCTGGGTGCCCTGAAAGAAGAAATGTCTCTTATTTCCCAGTGGAAATAATCGTGAGCCTGATCAATTCCCTGCTTCTCTCTCAGTGGCAGCCCTTCAGTGTCTGCTCACCCTGCCCTCAGGGCCCTCCTCGTAACATCACTGCCCCCAGAATTCCTTCTCCTGGGGACCCTGCTCCCTCATGTCAGCTTCATCTCTGCTAAATGTCCCCCCCCCCCCCCGAGGAGTTCTGGTCAGCTTAGTCTCATCCCTTCACTCATTCAACAATTATTTATACACATAGCATTTACAGCTATAAATTTACCTCTGAGCACTACTTTAGCTGCATCTCCTAAGTTGGTATGTTGCGTTTCCGTTTTTGTTCATCTAATTTCCCTTGTGATTTTTTCGTGGATCCATTGGTGACTTAGGTGGGTGTTGTTTAATTCCCACATACCAGCAAATATTTATGGAGCACCCGCACCGTGCCAGGCTAGGTGCTGGGGACACAGTAGTGAACAAGACAGGCTTGGGCCGGCCCCGTGGCTTAGCGGTTAAGTGCACATGCTCTGCTGCTGGCGGCCCAGGTTCGGATCCTGGGCACGCACCGACGCACCACTTCTCCGGCCATGCTGAGGCCACCTCCCACATACAGCAACTAGAAGGATGTGCAGCAATGACATACAACTATCTGCTGGAGCTTTGGGGGATAAATAAATAAATAAATAAATAAATAAATAAATAAAAAAAAAAAGACAGGCTAGATCCTCATTCTCTTAGGTGAGGAGGTCAGACAGTAAACACACAGCAAAAGAAATATACACAGTGAGTCGGTGGCAATGACCCTGATGAAAAATGCAGCAGGATGAGAGCTAGTGAGTGATGGGGTGGGGGGTGTCACTTCTCTTGGAGGTGACATCTGAGCAGAGACCTAAAGGAGGCATTGGAGGGAGCCTTGTGATCTGGGGAAGAACGTTCCAGGCAGAGGGCACAGTCTCACCATGTCACTGCTCTGTCTGCTCAGGACAGTAATCCCCTTCCCCTCCCACCAGCCCCATGTATAAATGCCCCTCATAACCCAAAGAGCACCCCCACTTAAGGCTCCTACCCCCACAGTTCCACCTCCACCTTCCTCCACCTCAGGGAACAACCCTGGTAAAACAGCCCTGTGAGGGGTAAGGGTGGGTCGAACCACAGACTTGCTCTGTGACCTTGGGCAAGTCACTTGACCTCTCTGTGCCTCCATTTTCTCATTTGTCAAGTGGGGATAACAAGAGTCCCTATGTCGTAGTCTAATAGAGTGGTGGTGGGGATTCAGTGAGCAAGTACCTGTGACGTGCTAGAATGGTAGCTGGCCTGCAGGAAATGCCCAGTCCACAGAGGCTGTCATTACTATGGGCTCTAATGGAGACGAGCCAGGCCAGCGGCTTCTTTCCGCAGACACCTTCCCTCCCCTCTGCCGTGGCACCCTCATCGGTCCCCTCCTCCCTGTGCTTTCTTCCGTCCCCCAGTCCCCTCCAGCGCTGTCTCCAGGTCTGAGGTTCCACCACCACCCCAGCCACGCCTTTGCTCCTTCCGGAGATCAGATTAACTAGAGGGGGTGTGAAGGGCATGGGACATTGAGTCTCATCCAAGAACACCCAGAGCTGGTGGCTAAAAATATCACCCTCCAGGCAGGGCTGGAGGAGACACTCACCTTACACCTCTGGGGGGAGAGAGCCAGGGGGCGGATGGGGGCTGACGGGCCCTGGCCTTGGTGGGCCCACTGACCCCTACAGTGGGCTGGGCGCAGAGCCAGGCCCCTGGGGGAGGGATGATGGCCAGGAAGCATGCTGGACCTCGGGGGCCCTTCTCCCACAGACCCTCCACCGACTCAGTGGAGACGTGACCCAAGGCCCCTGGGTGGGTCTGAGGCTCAGAGACCCCTTGCAGGAGCCTAGGTTCCAGGGTGTGAGGTGGGGGTAGGTGTAGAAAGCTGTCATCTGGGATGGAAAGAGCTGTAAAGGAGGTGCCCAGAGAATGACCACCATCTCAGAGGGGGCAGGAAGAGCCCCCACGGGTGAGGACAGGAACCCGTGTTCCCTGAGCATCTGCCTCAGGCTCTGCCCAGGTGTGACATCACTGAAGGAGACTGAATGAGCTTTGTCATCCTGTCAGCCGCCTTAAATCCTCCCACAGTCTTGGGGTTACCGCCCCCTTTTAGAAATGGCACGTGTGGATCAGGGAGGAGATGGGGCTTGAACCTAGGTCTGCCTCGCCCTGGGCCCCATGTTTTCCACTGTGTCAGGCGCCTTCTCGAAGTGCCAGCCCCCCTGCTGTAACTTGCTTCTCACAAGCTAGCAGGTCTCCTTCCCACCTGTAGTAAAAGGACGTGCCCCTCCCCCACACTGACTTTATCCCACTTCCCTTGGTTGGTCCTGACTTCCCCCTACCAGTGGTGACAGGAGAATGCTTTCCACCTACCTAGTGTTTACAGAGGACCAGGAAGCACTGAAGAGCCTTACACAGATAGCAGCCCCGTGAGGATGAGGAAATCGAGGCACAGAGAGATTCAGGAACTGCCTGTGGTCACACAGCTTAGATTCCAATCTGGCATTCTGGTTCCAGAGGCCACCCTTGTAACCACTCTGACAGAAACTATTATTACCATTCGACAGAGGCAAAACCTGAGGAGATGGAGAACAGAGGGCTGGTGTGTGTCTGTGTGTGTGTTGGGAGGGGGGTGCAAGGACGCACAGGCCTGAGAGAATTTGCAAACAGCACTGAGAGCAGAGACTGTGGTGCTGGGACTATCCGAGTCGGAGAAGGAGGGCCTGCAGGCAGGCATAGAGGGTGGGGGATGGATAGAGAGGAGTGTGAGGACCCCGGAAGAAATGGGAGAGATGGAGGGACTCCAAGAGACAGAAGGGAGATGAGGAGCAGTGAGGACACAGAGGAGGTGAGGGCCGAGGAGGAGAGGTCTGTGGGGCGCGGAGCTGGGGTGGGGGGGGTACTGTTCTCCGGGCCGGGAGGCCAGAGGGAGACCAGCGAGGCTGGAAGGTGGGGAAGGGGGCTCCAGCGCACACAGCCCCTTCCTGGCGGGGACACCCGGCGGTCCCGTGTCCTGAGCCCTGTCCTCTTCTCCGCAGGGTCTCCCGTCTCCCACACCGCCCGAGATGGAGGCGAACCCAGCGGGCAGCGGCGCCGGGGGCGGCGGGAGCAGCGGCCTAGGGGGCGAGGACGGGGTGCACTTCCAGAGCTACCCCTTCGACTTCCTGGAGTTCCTCAACCACCAGCGTTTCGAGCCCATGGAGCTCTACGGGGAGCACGCCAAGGCGGTGGCGGCCCTGCCCTGCACCCCGGGGCCCCCGCCGCAGCCGCCGCCGCAGCCGCAGCCGCAGTACGACTACCCGCCCCAGGCCACCTTCAAGCCCAAGGCGGAGGCGCCGTCCTCGTCCTCCTCGTCCTCCTCGTCGTCGTCGTCCTCCTCCTCCCAAGCCAAGAAGCCCGACCCGCCCCTGCCGCCCGCCTTCGGGGCGCCGCCGCCCCCCCTCTTTGACGCCGCCTTCCCCGCCCCGCAGTGGGGCATCGTCGACCTCTCGGGACACCAGCACCTGTTTGGGAACCTGAAACGCGGAGGGCCCGCGTCCGGGTCGGGGGCGACGCCGGGGCTGGCCGCTCCTGCGGGGACCC